AATAATAATAATAATAATAATACCAATTTATTTCAGATAATAAAATCCATAAAATTACATTTAAAACGAATTCAGGTTCAAAAATTTTATAAATAAATTAAAAATTAAAAAATTGTCTCTATAGCAAGTATCATAATAAATTAAAAATAATAAAAATAATAATCAATTCGTTCATACATCAAATAATCAAAATAATAAATTACACAAACACACAAAGAACATACATAGTCAATAGTCCATTTCAATTGTAAATAGTCAATTAATTATAAGTAGTCAGTTTCAATTATAAATAGTCAATACAATCCCAATATAAGTCAATAATAATATAAGTCAATAAAAATACTAGTCAATAGATAATAATACAAGTAAATAATATAGTTATGTCAATTATAAATATGAGGGACCGCTCGCGTGCAATCGCATCCACCTCATCAACATTGGTGAGTCCCACCGCTGGGACAATGTGCTCAGAATACCATTCGGGCTGCCACGCACACGCCTTAACAGCGAGGCGCACCTTTTCCTGATTATGGCGAAAAAATCATCAGTTTGCGCCTCAGCAAACATAGCGGAAGCACTACAAAAACGTGGCAGCCCCAATAATATCCTAAACGCATTGTTATACTGCACTCGCAGTGCACTGTACCCCCGCAGCGCAAAATTAGTCCACAAGCTGCACGTGTAAAAGGTCTGGCAGTACGCCTTGAATAATGTTATCTTTACTTGAGTAGTACAACGTGCAAACCTGCGAGCCAACATATTGCACCGGATGGACAGAGCCCTGCGTTCCCTCTCGATGTCCTCATTGTCACACAAGTCTTCAGTCACCCAGTGACCCAGATACTTAAAGGCACTAACCTTTTTCAGACGCATGCCGCACAGAGTTACATGAGGAACATGGGAGTAGCATTTACCACGTGACTTGAACACCATGAACTCACTCTTATTCGCGTTGTATCTGAGTCCATGGGCTTCCGCGTATGATTGGCAGATGCACATCAATTTCCGTAACGCTGCAATCGATGGGCTCAGTAACACCATATCATCGTATCGTAGTATAAGCGTCATCACGTACGTTATTCCTTCAGGAGTTCGTAGAAACTAATTTTAATCTTCCCTTCATTATAAATGCCTTAATAGTATCTATCTTTTTCAACCGACTGCAAAAAAGAGGTTCTAAGTTTCACCTGTATGTATGTATGTTTGTATGTTTGTGCGCGATTTTCTCGCGATTGGCTGATCCGATTTTAATGCGGTTTTCAGAAAGTTTTTTTTTTCACTTAGGTAAAGGTTTTAGTATATTAAGTGACCGACTTCAAAACAAGAGGTGGGGGTGAAGACGGTTTTTTTAAATAATTTAATCCAAATTGTAAGTATCACAAAATTGAACACTTCTATTTTATATTTTTGACCGTGGAACCTCACTAACTAAAATGACATAGCGGTTGAACGAGTACTGGATATATAAATACCTTAATAAGTCCAATCGAAGAGTCAGCTCGCTCCAAGCTGCAAATGCTGAACTGGATCGAAGGCAGGTCGAGTCGATGGGACAGCTGGCGCTGGAAGGTCTGGTGACGCGTTGGAACTATTGGCAGGGTTGTCTGACGAAGAACCTGGAAACAAAACATAGGATAAGTATAATTATGATCCTTATTTTCTGTATTGAAATGGATATCATTTAAACCGTACTTAGTTAGGTAGTAGCTTAATTAGTTACGAGGTTAAAGTATTCATTTGTAATTCAACAAAAGTTACCGTTGTCCGACTGGTCGCAAATGCAACTACTGGGCTAGGTGTCTCGGGTTCGATTCCCGGGTCGGGAAATGTATTATCTAGTTTAAAAAAAATCTCAGTCTGGAATTGTGCCCATTATATGGCAATATGCTCACCCCTTATTACATGGGACTCATAACATAAAATAACATAAATAGTGAAAAGTGGGTGTTGCATTGTACAGTTGCAATAAGTGCCGTAATGTGCACCTCTGCCCCAAATGTTATTATAAAAATTGATCAGATTTATAAAAAAATTACAATTGATTAAGCGAAAGAGGCATAGTCTCTGCCTACCTCAAAAGTAGATAAACATAAGATTATGTACATATATATCACATTTCTAATTCAGGGTTCAAATTCTACAATTTACAAATAAAAAAATTACAAAATCGTGTTAAGAATTAGTGTGACCTTAAACTGTCAAACACCAAGCGGTCACCGGTGACCGCAACCTATTGTTCTATAATTGTGTCTATAATGACGGCACTCGACGAGTTAAACAATATTTACTCACTAAACAATCTGACGTAACCTCTAAATAATTGTATACCCCATAGTCTTGATAAATAGGTGGTAACAGTAATAAAATCAAAGTTAACACCATTCTGTTTACTGGATTAATTAAAAACTTGTTTTATTGCCTTATTGGTCAATTGTAGGTAACATTATTTATAATGTAATCTTCGATAAATCACTACATAGTATAAAACAAAGTCGCTATCCGCCGTCTGTCTGTCCCTATGTATGCTTCGATCTTTAAAACTACGCAACGGATATTGATGCGGGTTTTTTCATAGATAGAGTGATTCTTAAGAAAGGTTTGTATGTATAATACATGCATATTGCACTCGTGCGAAGCCGGGGCGGGTCGCTAGTCTTCGATAAAAGAAACACAAGAAATAAACTTAAGATCCTGGTCTTGAGTTTAATTCTTGTGTATTAATTTTATTTATAAAGTGTTTTAAAAGTATAGTACACCTGCTTGCGTAGAATCATATAACTAACACCTTTGTCTCATCTATATCTATGTTTAAATGAAAAATTATTGAATAAGCAGAAAATTACGAGAAAATCAATAAATATTATGTACAACTACAAATAATATAAATATAAAACTAAAAAACCATATAGGTGTCAATTTTGTCTCATCTGACTTACGTCGACGTAACGACGAAGCCGTTTTTAGGACTGCCAAACAAGTCATGGTAGGTTCTATTAATTAAAACAAACAAGGTATTAACAAATTCTAAAATGAAAATATAACAAAACATAACATCACGCCTTTTATCCCCGAAGAGGTAGGCAAAGGTGCACATTACGGCACTTAATGCCACTGTGCAAAAGTAACACCCACTTTTCACTATTTATGTTATGAGTCCCATGTAATAGGGGGTGAGCCTATTGCCATATACCGGGCACAATTCCAGACTCCGTGCTACTACTGAGAATTTTTATAAAAAACACAGTAATACTTTGCCCGACCCGGAAATCAAACCCAAGACCCCTTGCGCAGCAGTTACTTACAACCACTCGGTCAATTATCAGACCTCAGTTATGCAATGCAAAAGAAAATTAAACAGCTATGAAATAAATAAAATATTAATCATTTGCAAATAGATAACGAGTTTTAAAAAGGAAATTTGAAAACGTAAATAAGGAGTGAACTCAAAGTAAAAGTTAATGGCTAAAGCTTCTTAGAAAGAGTATTTACACAGCAAACCCAGCTCAAGTTAATCCTGGGTTGCTTGTAAATATCACTTAAATCTGAATGCTAACTAACTATCAACTTTTTTGTTAACTACACAAGGTTTAATATTAATTATTATGGTATAATATTAAACGTTCATCATTTGACAAAAATGAAAAGGTATTTCATTTTTTCTGAGTTTTTTAAAAAACCCGATAATACTTTTCTTAATATTAAGTCCACCTATTGTACATTAAGTGCACGAAGCGTTTAAATAACTAAATAGACTTTTGACATTATTTTTATATAGTTACTATTAAAATTCGATCCTTATTAACAGATTTTGGATTGAGATTATTAAAATTGACAGCTAGTCGGGGCTATTTTGGACACACAAGGTAGTTATGTACATACCTATGTATGTACTTTGCGACAGTGGTGAATAATACAGGACTCAATCAATTAGACTTCATCAAAATCGGTTCAACGATTTACGCCTCTAGGCTTAGCAACTAAACTTACACTTCTAATATTATTACAATGCCCACGTTAAGTTCTTTAAGTAGGTAGGTATTACACTATTCTAAAAATACTTCACAACTTTAATTTCAGTGTTTAGTCTTGGCAGTATAACAACAACGGTTCGAACGAACTCATTAACTTATACAACACTTACAAACTTTGACGTTCTTTATTTTTAAATTAACGGAAAATTATTCGTCGTGGCAACACTGAGCAACTGTCAGCGACCAGCTGCTGGTTGGTAACAAAATATCAAAGCGGACTGAGTTCGACGAAGTTTAAAAAAATACTGTGTAAATTAGGGATCCGTTAATTTTTTTTACGTGTTTGTTCTAGTACACAATTCAATATTATAGAAGGTGTTATGATAAAAATGTTTGGTACTATGTTGTAATTTAATTCGATTTACTGAGAAATTATTGGTTGGGACGGTTTCAGAAGTTCTGTAATAATGTCTAGACATTACCTAGGTAAGACCGCATAATCATTCTCGCTTTCTCACAATGAACCTTTAAACATGTTTTTCAAATTAATATAAGTCTCCACTAAATATTATCTTCGAAACAATCAACACAAAAATACACAAGTACAACATACGTATTGATTTTCCCAACACAAATTACACAAACCAAAATGTAAATCAGCTACCAATTTGAACAAATTCTATTGATTCTGAGAACAAACCTCGCCGGGTCAGCTAACATAACAGAAGGATCCTACCAACACGTAACACAGCCATAATTTCGAGAACCGAAAAAAAAACAAACAAAACATTATAATTATGATAATTTTATCTTCAGTTAGCCTTAGGCATTTCGTGAAATGAGGGGGCGAACGTTGTTCGACGTATTATTTATATAAAAAGCCCTTAGGTACTGAGATATTGCGATACAAGGTCTTTTTTACATTATATTATACTCTCATTGACGTCATAGTCTGTAATCAGGTAGGCGAAGCCAATGTTTTGTTGTTAAATATTTTTAGAAAACAAATATTTTCTGTAGTAATATATGAAATGAAGAGTCTGGTCTGTGTGTTTGGATTCGAGTATTCTCTGGGGTTGGTATTTACGCATGAATGTGGTATACGTAGGTACCCATGTTTACATTACAGCTTGTTGTACTCCATAGCCGTTGATAGACAGCTCTAAAATATAAAATAAAAGTACCCTTCTAAGGGCCGATTTTTTAATCACCGGTTAATTTTTGACTGCAGAATAAAATTGACGTTTGACACTTTTTAGTATGGAAGAATTGTCAAATGGTCAAAGTTATTCCCTAGTTAAAATTTATCTCGCATTGGAAAAATCGGCTTGATTATAGTTACAGTTATCTATCTAAAATCAAGCGTAATCAATTAGGACCTAATTAGAATTTCAAGATCAAAACTTCCAACGATACTTACAACTACAAAAAAATACCTAGGCCTTTTTTAAAACAACTTACTATGACGTTTAAATAAATAAATATGTCGGAGAAAATACACTAATTGGGGGTACTTCGTCATCGGATTCGTCGTAAACGCGGTAAGTTCGGTACGGGCTGGCAGAACAACTGCTCACCCTCGTGTCCAACTCAAAAAGTGACGCCTGTCAAATGTCAACATGCCACGCCCCGTACCGACCATCACCCAAGCACACTGCTTGACGTTTCCGACAAATGATAACAGATGGCGTTGTTCTAAAATAACGATACTCGATAGTTGTGCATCTTTGTTGATTCTGCGACACGGCCATCTTGACAATTTCACACGTCCACGTGTGAAGCATCTGGAACAAGAATTTACCGAAAGTGAAACGTTCCTTGCTCGGCCTTCCTGACCAAGATATCGGGAGATAAACTCACGCAATCCAAACAACACAATTTTATTCTGATTCACATATTCTCATCAAACCTCATAAAGGAAATCTCAACATTTAAGTCATAACTCAACATCAGTTTCAATAAACATCAATTTTTAAATCAATTCATGAAACATTCCGACCAAATCTAGTATGCAATGCTCTGTTTGGTACCCAACCTCGTCACAAACAACGCATTGCCTCCATCCGGCAATCCAACGGGACCTCCATCCGGAACCCGATCTCAACACACACATTTAAATATCACACATCACTACATCCCTTGTGTAGTGGTATCCATACTGATGGCAGTATTCATTACTCGAAAGTAGTATCCACATAACACATCACTACATCCCTTGTGTAGTGGTATCCATACTGATGGCAGTATTCATTACTCGAAAGTAGTATCCACACATCACTACATCCCTTGTGTAGTGGCATCCACAACAAACAAAACACCTTGCAAACCCTTCTAAACACAACCGCTCCAGGAACACATTCATCCGGCACTACATGAAACAATACCTGCATTGAGCATCCCTGCATAGTGACATCCGTTAGTATTTGAACGCCACAATCCACGTTGAATGAACCCATACCTAATAATGCCACCAAAGCATGAAGACGCTTGCCAGGAAACCCCTGTGCCAAACTTTCCTTAACTAGAGACTTAGAGAGCACTGAATACCTGAATCAAAACAAAAAAGAAATCTCTCACCGGATTCAACCTCCAAACACGTGCGCATTGTCTTTATACTTTTCTTGAATAGCACAGGCACCTTCCCT